AGTAGGTCGGTCAAGTTCATAGAATGTTTAAAGTAGGTAGGTCAAGTTCATAGGATGGGTAAAGCAGGTAGGTCAAGTTCATAGGATGTGTAAAGTAGGTAGATCAAGTTCATAGGATGTGTAAAGTAGGTAGGTCAAGTTCATAGGATGTGTAAAGTAGGTACATCAAGTTCATAGGATGTGTAAAGTAGGTAGGTCAAGTTCATAGTGTGTGTAAAGTAGGTACGTCTAGTTCATAGGATGTTTAAAGTAGGTAGATCAAGTTTATAGTGTGTGTAAAGTAGGTAAGTCAAGTTTTTTAGTATGTGTAGTGTAGGTAGTTGAACGTTTTGAAGCATGTGGTGCTAGATGTATAATTTGCAGAGCTACCTTGATGGACCATGTGGTCAGCATCATGCATGCTGCTTTTATTTTCCAGAACAATAACTTCAAGCTAGGTTTTTCCTTTGAAGTCAGAGTGCATCTGCCTTAGAGGGGAGGAAGTAACAGCATACAAATAAGGCAGATCTGTAAAACACATCATCAGGTCCTTTGCAGAACATCGCTTTCATCACGGTCTGCCTGGAAGAAACTTGGTCTCTCACCAGCTCTGCCATCTCGTGGTCTTTCACATTCGAAGAGTCACTTATATCCTGTGCCCATCTTTGTGTTGGTCGGCCCCTGCCCCTCCTTCCTGGTACCATGCCTTCTGCTATAATTTTTTCCAATCCGTCTGGCGCTTGATATGACCAAAATATTTTAGCTTCCGAGACAGGATGCTCTTTATTAGCCAATCGTCATTGATGTTCAGATCCTTCAAGATTTCAGTATTTCTCCTTTTTTCGTCCAAGATATTCTGAAAATCTTTCTATAGTATTTAAGCTCAAAAGCCTCTATTCTCTTTCTTAAGGACTGGGAGATAGTCCACGACTCACATCCTTATGTTGTTACAGGGAAGATAAATGCTCTAAAAATTCTAATTTTAGTCTCCTTGCTGGTGCTTAACCATAGACTTTTTAGGCTGTTTAAAACAAATATGCAAGCAAAGAGTCAGAAACAAGATTAGAGTTCAGGACTGGATGAACAAACAGAATGTTCTGCCAGAGTTTATAGCAGGTGAACACCTAGAAAAAGAGAAAAGGCTGGTTTGACCTGGGAGTCAGGTGCAGATTCGAAATCAAGATCTTTGGACGAGCAGGTAAGTGTCTAGCCCTGCTGAAAATAGTGTAAGATGGGTATAAATTATGTTTATGGGATATGAGGTGAGACTATATTATGTTGATGGGATAAAAGATGGGTATATACTATGCTCATTGGATAAGAGGTTGACCTATACCATCTTTATGGGGTGAGGGGTGGGTTTAAACCATGCTTCTTTGTAATGCCGTTTTTCAATCTGAGCTGCAGGCAATTTTTCATCTTGTGCTGGTTTTGTCTGGTATTGAGAGTCGTCTGTTGAGAACACAGTGGCAAACTACTCAACACAAAATCTTCTTCTTCTTTGCGTTCGGTTTCGTATGCTCAGATCAGACCATCAGGTGGGTTGCCTCTATGAACTTGCATGTCAGCTGCAGGTCCTGCATGGTTCCCCATAGCTTGCTCTGCTCACTTTGCTCTTGAGGCCAAGTGTCTTTTCGAAGTTGCAGGTAGAGTGGGCAGGTCTGCAGAATGTGCTGAGGTGTTTGGGGTCCTGTTTGACAGGCACACTTGGGAGACTGTACAATCTTTATTTTATGCATGTGGTAGTTGAGCCTGCAGTGTCCTGTTCGTAGATGGGAAATTGTTGTATGTTGCTTTCTGTTGAGTCTGCTGATAGGGTTTTGTGGATGTTTACTGTTAGTTTGTTCTCTCCACAATCCCTTGTATTTTCCTTTGATAAGTGTTCTGATTTCTGGTAATGACAATCAACACAAAATAAACCTAGAAAATAGCAAAAAAATTATGTTGTTGGTTCTGCAGTGTCCTGTATAGGATTCACAACTAACTTTTATGTAACACTCTTATGGGATAAGAGTTGGTCATTTACCATGTTCATGGAACAAGAGGTGGGAATTTACCATGTTTATGGGGGAAAAATGCAGGCATATATCATGTTTATGGGGAAAAAATGCAGGCATATATCATGTTTATGGGGGAAAAAATGCAGGCATATATCATGTTTATGGGGAAAAAATGCAGGCATATATCATGTTTATGGGGAAAAAATGCAGGCATATATCATGTTTATGGGAAAAAAGGTGGGTTATACTATGAGGTGGAATATCTGCTACGGGACTGCTTTTTCTTTTACTGTCTATTGAACAGGGACGGGTAAGTAACAATTATGTTGCATATCTGTATATAGTTTTTGTTTGTTGGTAAAAGCAGTCTTTTCCTCTGGTAAATTTAAAGAGTGATAGTACACATTTCTTCATCACTATCATCTGCCTGACGACTATAGAACTTATTTTCAGCATACAATGAAGCACTCACAAAGAATCCTTTTAACTAAAATACACACAATGATGATGATGACTAAATAAAGTGGCTGTGGGATTATTATATGGAAACAAAAAACCAAAATGTTGAAGTTTGAACTGAGTTTATAAACCACATTAATGAACTTGGCACAGAACTCTTCAGCAGCCAAAGTTGCATTTCCAGTTGTACCAGTAGCAGTCTGGTTTTTCTTGTCTTTCCTCGGAGTGTTGAGTGGCGGCCAGATTCCACAGTCACTTCCTATCGCACAATTTTCTTGGGGTTGGTAGCGCAAACTTCATCTTGTTGAATTTTTTAAGTTGAAAATTTCTTCTCAGCTTTGGGATGAAGGTGGAAGGGGGGGGGGGGGGGAGAGCAGTGTTGGTATGTTGTGTTGTGGTTTACAGGTGGGCTGCAATATTTGCGCCTTTTGGAACAACACTTCCGATTTTGGCAAACTCCTTATTAGTCACCTTGTGTGACATGCTTATTGGGGGGGGGGGGGGGTGTCGTCTGTTCCCCCTCTCTCACCCAAATGGGCCCCAAAACCCACACCGAAATTCAATTCTCTGACTTATGACTTATCAAAAAGATCTTGATTACTAAAGTTTAATAATCAAAGACACAACTGGTGTAAGCATTTTTTTTATTACTGTAAAGAGTCATAAATTAGTCACAATAAAGCTGTTATATAGTAAAGTGAAACAGGGATCTCAGGGTCTATAGGAACATTTGACACAAATTAATGACTCGTCAGAATCAGTGATTTGACCCTTGGGCTAAGCATGAAGCTTCCTGGTCATTCTGTTTCACAGATGTCTGTGTGGTGCCATTCTCTTGAATAATGTGTCTGTCTCTGGTACCCATCTCTTTCATTTCATGTCTGCCTGATGCCAGTCTCTGACATTTTATGTCTGTCTGGTGCTTCTCCTTAGTTCCGTGTATGTCTGCCTAGATCTGTGTACACATATTTTATCTGTCGTGACCTTGAACCACCACAGTCTCCTTATTCCAACATTTCACCTTCTATTCTTTTTGTTGTTGTTGAATCGATCACATTTGTAATTTGTTTGAAGTTTTATTCTCTCAGTCTCCACTCTGTCATCGCCATTCTTCTTATATAAGTTTTACATTGTGCTTCTTTTATTAAAGTTTGTCCAGACAGATAAATACATAAATCAGTAACAAATAACTGCTCTGCTTTCACTAGGAGAAAAACTAATTCAACAGTATATTTGCATAGATTATATTGTTTGAGTAGTAAATTCACAACCAATGATTGGCAGTCGCAGAAGTAGAAGAAAGAAATTTAGATTAGAGGACAAGCTAGGCAACATTAAAATTGAAAACTAAAGTGATTACTCCAGGATTAGATCCGGCTGCTTCCAAATAATGACAGTGCCATGCTGTAAGAACAAATCTGCTTCAGTGCTCGGCCAACCGGACACTTCTGTGTGTTGGTCAGTTAAAATAAAGGACTAATTTCCTCCCCTTGAACCATATTGGGAATTTGTTCTGGTCCCTTTTTGTACAGACCACTTAGCACTTGGTGGGTTATGTGGTCAACATCTTGCAGCCGCCTTTAATTCAATGAAAATTTTATAGGAACCATCATAGGCTAGAAACCCTGGTGGACAGATTTAGAACTCACTACGGGATCGGTCGGGGCTGCCATGGTGGTAAGTGCTAGATGCTCATCTGCGAATCCAAAGTTCATGGGTTTGAATAGAGCTGAATTTTTTTAGAAATAACCCTAGCTCTCAGGTCTACCCAGCCTTAAACTGGTACCAGGTAAAGTCCTGGAAAATAAAGGCTGCTAGCCTGATGTTGCTCACAAAATTTCTTTTGTATCTTCTTCGCTTTATCTAGTTTCCTAGGTTAAAATTTTAGAGAATTAAAACGGTGCATTTCTTTCTAGTTAAATTTGGAAAAAAGTCATGTTTTAAAGATTTTTACGCGGGCAAAAGCGTTGACCACTGCGCTTTCATGAATCTCTCTTGGTTGTGTGGCTTAGAGTTTAGCCAATGCATTTAATAAAATTATCGTGATTAGTGATTAGAAAGGATTATGATCACAGCACTCCGGATAGATCCATAGGTGCTCCAATCTCCTCCACAAGTGTAAAACAATTGATGACACCTGTTCTGTGTTGGTTAATGAAACGTCTTGTCTCCTTAGTAAAATATTCATTTCTTGCAGCTCCAGGCTGCACCCCCATGTCCATCAGTCTAGACCGGGATATGGAGTAATCCTAGAGTAATAGGTTTCAATGTCTGCAGTAGGCAGTTTATTTATGAAGTTGTTCTCATGGTGTTTGAAGAGTAGTATGAGAGTATGGAAGAGATTAGGGTCCTACCTTGTAATATTCAAAATATTTAAAAGCTCCATCTTCCTTTACAATAAAATTATTAATTGATCCATCTAAATTTATAATTATATTATTACAATATATAATAGCTCATCTACATTAACAGTGTTAATCATCAATAGGTCTGTCTACATTTGAAAAGGACACAACAGAAATGGTACTGTGGTACAGTTATCGGAGTACGTACACTTTGCATTTATTTCTTTGGCTTTTCCACTTTCTGTTTGAGCCAGACATCCACAAACTCATTGTAGCTGATCTTCTTGTCCTGGTCCTTGCACCAATAGATGAGCAAGTCAGCGATCTTGTCAGCTTTCAGCTTCAGCTCAGACTCCGCCTTGACAGCCTCCAGAATCTCCTCCTTGGTGAGAAAACCACTGCCATCGGTGTCCAACTTGGCAAACACTTGTTTCATGACTGTGGCAGCAGATTCCACACCAAACACGTACAGGAACTCTTCATAGCTAACCTGCAGATTAATTAAGTAAAAATCACTTTTCACACCTTTAGGCGCATCAGGCATATAGGAAGAGCACCCAATCGGCAATAAATAGGTAGGTAATGTGGTTAGCATTAAGCTGGCCGTCTTTACTTTCCCAGGACATACATCATAGTACCCATTTTAGGCTAGGTCGACCTGTGACGCCCCATACCATGATAAAAATCCACGCAGCCAGCAGTGGGTTTCGATCGTGGTACATTTGAATTACCAGTCAGACTCGCAACACCTAAGCCATGGACGCCACTGCAGATTAATTACAATTCACAGTACACAGATATAGGTTAGTTGCGTATCCTTTACAGAACGTTGCAGAGCCAACCCCAACTGCCCCTGGCAGTTGTGTGGTTTTTCTAGGCAAATTTACGTCCAGTAGTTTGCCATTGCTTTCTGGACGGTCGGCTTTCTTGATAACACTGTCGAAACCAACGCAAGGTGCATTGCCCGCAGCTGGGATCGAACCCGACATCCCGGCATTATGAAGCGTTCACATCGACTTAGCCACAGAGCCGACACACAGATATAAGTTAGACTATATAGACTAATAAAGTGAAACGGGGATCTCAGGGTCTATAGGAATGTGTGATTGAAATTAATGACTCATTAGGATCAGTGTTTTTACCCTTGGACTAAATCAGCATATATTTTTCTTAAGCTTTCTGTCCCAAGCAACGCATTTTGTGTGCTCAGCTAATGCCCATGTAAATCAAAGCAGCATACACAGTGTTATATTATTTTGAGGTGTTGTGTCTGGGTCACTTGAAACGTCATGGAAGTCTAGAGAGAACAATAATGGAGGGGTATATGCCTGGGAAGAGAGGAAGAGGAAGGCCAAGGAGAAGATGGGTGCGGGATGTGGCAGATGATCTCCAGATGGGTGTATCAGACGCAGGACATCTTGCTCATGATAGGAAGGTTTTCCGGAGGGTTGTTATGGCAGCGAGGTTCCGCGAGGGACATGCTACTGAATGAATGAATGTGTCTGGGTGTGCTAAAGAAATCTTGCCAAATATTTTAAATGCAGCACAGTATATGCTGTGTCTTTGAAAGTCATAGACCGATTATATTTTTCACTGTGAAACCATTTGGGTAGAGAGCAGCTGGTGTTTTCTGAACATGTTATGAGAAGGAATGGACTCGGGAACTCGATTACGTCTGACAAGAGAGATGGACAAAGAGCAAGGGGATAGCAAAGGAAAATATATATATCCGGCCAACTAGAGTGGATGAGACAAAAACACAGACCTGATCAGTGATTCTAGTGATCATGTGGAATGGCAAAAAATGACAGCCTCCGCTTGTCAGCATGACACATAATGATAATGACAGAGAGCTTGTTTTATCATTGTAGAATTGGAACACAGGTTTTATAAACATTTAGTGGTGCTACAATATCAGTGTGCTATATGACTATAAACATTCTGAGAAGTGTGCTATATGACTATAAACACATTCTGAGAAGTGTGCTTTATCACTATAAATGTATTCTGAGAAGTGTGCTATATGACAATAAACACATTCTGAGAAGTGTGCTATATGACTATAAACACATTCTGAAAAGTGTGGTATATGACTATAAACACATTCTGAGAAGTGTGCTTTATGACTTAAAACACATTCTGAGAAGTATGCTATATGACTTTAAACACATTCTGAGAAGTGTGGTATATGACTATAAACACATTCTGAGAAGTGTGCTATATGACTATAAACACATTATGAGAAGTGTGCTATATGACTATAAACACATTCTGAGAAGAGACAAACTGGCACTGAAATAGGAAACTGAAGGGGACTGAGGAAACAAAGATATCTAAGAGAAACCCTCAAGCGAATGCTGATGAGAGAAGCCAAAGATGCTAGACTGGATTCCATCCACATATCGAAGTGACTGCACATGACATAAGGGAATGGAGAAATATACTGTGAGCCTTAATTGACATATAATGACATAATAAGACAATGAATGAATAAAAATGGTTATATTGTTGAATAGGGTTTCCAGGATTGGTAGCTGTTTTATTCTTATTCTTGTGCTGTTAATTATGCAAAATGCAGTGGGGGGGGGGGGGGGGGCACAAGCAAAGACTATGAAGCACCTCTGTGTCGCGTGGGATAACCAAAAATTCGATTCTAAGTCTGGTCAATGGTTCCACGGATGTCTATGTTTTTTCACAGGTATGTTCTTCTTCTTCTTTGCATTCACCGGCCGCAAATTCCAACAGAAAGCTCTTGTTTGTTCATCAGCTTCTGCACTAGAACCTGAATGTTGTGTGCATATTTGTTTCACAGATCTGACTACCTTACATGCAGGCTGTTGGTTCCTCACCTTTCAGGCAGATGCATTCCAACTTCAAAGAAAGACCTGGTACCTATTTTAGGCTGGGTCAGTCCTCGGAGATCTGGGTTAATAAGACAATCTTCCTCTATGCCAATTCAACCCAAAGATCTTTGGGCCAATAGAAAAGCATCTGGCTACAGCACTTCCATAGTTCTCTCTCTCTCTCTCTCTCATTCTCTCTTTGTGTGTGTGTCTCTGCATAATATATATATATATATATATACATATAAATAAGTGATCGCGTGTGCAACTGCTGATTTGTTGGTTACCTCTGCTACCGTCGATGATGAACTGCATTTCTCATGTAGGACTGTTTGTGTTAGCACTTCTGATTGCTACCATATGTTTTTAATGCATGTGTATGCTAGTGCATATGCTGAGACAGCAGTCTGTCAATCTCTCCCCAAGTGACTGTGGTGAACATACTGTGTGCTTTTCGTTGGCACAGGAGCGGAGGAACTATTGGGTGACCCGTTTGCTATGAAGCTGAAACTAACATTACCATATATATATATATAGTATGCATACACACATGATACATCCATTGCACATACTATCATTGTGTGTGGGCTGTATTATTCTCTTAGTACGTCTTTACTTTCTTCTTTTTACCTTTTCATCTTTATCCTCCTTGCTCAGATAAATCAAGAGATCAGAAATTTTCTCTGGAGCAATCTCCAGTCCTGCTTCTGATTTTGTAGCATCTATAATCTCTGACCTAGTTAAGTATCCGCTGCCATCTTTGTCCAGCTTCAAGAAGGTCTTCCGGAGGACAAACTCTCTGAAGGACAAAAATGTTGCAATTCAGAAATTTGTGTGTGGACTAATTTATTTAAGAGTCATATACACTTAACTGTAAGTTTACTTATCATATTGTGGGTAACATCTATATATAATAGGATTCATGCTGGAAGAAAAGCATGAAAACAATGTATGTTAACATGCATATATAGAGGGACACCGCTGCAACAAAATAATTGTGGTTGGGGAGGGGTGACAGCTCCATACAATTACCTGGGGGGGGGGGGACTTAAGAGGTTGAGGCTTTGTTTAAGGCAATAATAATAACGATAATGAACTGACTGGCAAATACATATAATAACATAATTGAAGTAATAAAAAATGTATAAATATGTACTTAAAAAACATCGAGGGGTTTTCAAAGTGTTCACACACATGGCTGAAGCATTTCAATGGAAATATTAGCTATACATGAGGCAGAGACTGAGAGAAATGATGCTGGGTGATACAAGAAAGTGGCATGGAAGAATCCCATCAAAAGAATTGGCTCTCCTCCGAACTTCAACCCGATATTATGACGGCCATAAAATATCCTTACGGGGCTCAGTTCTATTAAAAATATGCCGGCTCCGTATAACGAAACAAATGCTCTAACAGGGTCTCAGCGATATGTTACTTGCGGACCTGTTTCTGTGACTATGCCTCACCGCCGACCGTATCCCCGTAGGATGGGGGGCTAAACTAGATGGCTGGGACTCATGAGCAGCAGCTACCGCATCTCCTGCAACTTCCTCCAATTAATTTGCTCGTGAGTCCCAGGCACCTAGTTCAGCTCCCCCCCCCCCATCCGCGACGCAGGTAGCGGCGCGGGGGATAGAGGCGGTGAGTTTAAACGCGTTTTGCGCATGCTATTATCGTCTGCAGAAACGCTCGTGATTGTCAACGGTCGCTATTATCGTCTGCTACTATCGTCTGCAATGTTGCGTCTCTTGAAATTGTCAAGTAATCCTAGTTTTGCCGCGATTTGTTCCTTGGCAAAAAGTCCGCATTTTACATATGCCTGAGCCCCGTAAGGATATTTTATGGCCGCCATAATATCGGGTTGAAGTTCGGAGGAGAGCCAAAGAATTAATATGAACACTATGAACTGGGGTATTTTGATAGAAGTGAAAAGCTCAAATCATATGGTAAGACACATGATCATGATATTGATCTAGTACATACCTGTAGTTATAAATTAAGCGAGACAAATGTCTGGATAGCCGCTAGTAACGTCAGTTCTAATGCAAGGAAGATGACAGTATGTTAGGCACATCCCCAGAAGAAAAGACAGAGAATAAGTAAAAGTAAGTAAAGTAAAGGACCCATTTAAACGCCTTTAGGCATATAGGGCTAGACCAATGCTCACAAGATGGGTGATGTGGTCAGCATCACGCCAGCAGCCTTTAATTCCCAGTACTGCACCCGGTACCCACTCAAAGCTGGGTCGACCTGGGAGCCAAGGTCATTTTTGAAAAATGTCTGGCTCGGCCAGGAAGTGAACCCACGACCTTCCGATCAGCGGCAAACGTCTAGCCGCTCCGCCATGGCGACTTCCAAGACAGAAAATTACCAAACAGAAATTACCAAGTCGGCACTAAAATGGGAATCAAACGGAAGGAGGAAATGTGGATGTGCAAGAAAAAACCAGTGACGAAGTTGACAAGGAAGGCCAAAAGTGCTGAAGATTTTTCCGGCAATGATATCTAACAGACTACATATGATAAAAGGAAGTGGAAGACTAGACTAGACTGCGAGCCCTATGTGCCATGTAACGGTATAACTGGATGTGAATGAGGATGATGAAGAAAATTGAAGCATTTACATAGTATACTATAAATAATTGACTAACGAAATATATAACATTAGCAGTATGTGTACCATTATCAGCTACTGTTACCAACTCCCACACACACAAAAAAGTTAGGTTTAAGTTAGTCTCCCCCAAACAAAGTAGGTACCGTTTCATTTACAAGTTTGTTGGGCTGGTCTACTTTCCTGTAGGTTACGGGTGTGCCGCTTTGTTGTTTGCTTTCTGGGTTGTCTTGCATTTACGTTTTTATTCCAAGAAAGAGAATGCTTGTGGCATAGGTTGCAGCAATCTCTAGGGGAATTGTGTTAGACCCAGGTTTGTCGATGTTTTTGGAGTATTAACAGCGCTGGTGTGCTGCAATATACAACACGCGATATCAACGGCATCCCCGTAACCTAGTGCCAATGTTACATGGCTCAAGGTCTACCAATCAGAAGTGAGTTACTCTGTATATGGGCGAGATCTGGGGGATCGAAACATTACTTTTACCTACTATCAAACGCAAATGTAACCTTTGCACTCACTTGATTGACAGACGGGGCAAATTATTGAGGGCAGCTTTGAACTCATCCCTTGTAATTTTCTGGTCCTTGTCGCAGTCCAGGTGACCAAAAATAAGCTGAAAGTAAAATAAACACATGTAGTTGCATAGATTAGACAATTAGCTTTAGCAGCATAAAAATCTGGCATGTGCTCCTGTTCTGATACAATGAAATATATTTAATGTCAGCTCCGTTTGGGGATTTTCACTCTTTTACACACAAACACACACACACACCATACCCCCCCCCCCCACACACACACACCATACCCCTACACACACCTACACACATATATGCGCGCACGCACACACTCACACACGCACGCGCGTGCGCGCACACACACACACACATTTATATGCACACAGCCACAACGCACACAACAGTTATATACAGAGCCTAACCCTCCTCGATTTTCTCAGTTCGACAATTAAATTGTGTGTATGTGTGTGTGTGTGTGGGGCGTTGCTAACCGGGTCAGCTACTACAGTACTCTCGCCGTCTCGGGAGTCGATGTGGTCTTATGGTACTAATCTTTATTTTTATAGTGTAACGTAAGTATGGGCCATTGCAGTGGAACTGGTGACAAAAAATGATAAAGACTTTCGTGAAAACGTGCGATTGTATTTATGGTTGTTATGGATCCAGCGGCGCATGAACTTTCGCCCTTGAGTAAAATTGTAGTGGAATTTACATGTTTCCACAAGCTGATCTTTTCCTCCGACCAAGGTGTTCAACAAATCTGGTCTTCGAGGGAGCAACATTTTTCTAGTCCAGTTGTATTTGTGTGCGTCCTATTCACCCATTCCTGTCACATTTCAAGTTGTATTTTAGCTTATTTTCATTGACTAGTTGATACTCGATTGTAGGTATCTCATTATATGCTAGGTCCTTATCTCTAAAGGCAGGTAAAGTAAGTAAAACGTAAAGATCCCTTTAAACGCCTAAAGGCGCATCGGGCATATGGGAAGAGCACCCATATTTTTACAGACCAATCGGCACTCGGTGGGTAATGTGGTCAGCATTACGCCCTCTAAAGGCAGGGGTGTGCAAAATTTAGCCTACGGGTCAAAATTGACCCGCTGTGCAATTTTACTGGCCCGCGAGACTGGAGTGCATGAGTACTACATTAATCAGGCCTAAAAAAAAAAAAAAAACAGAACACAAAAACACACGTTCACAGACAGAGTTTTAAAAAATCCAGAAATCAAAATCCAAAACAGTGTTAATCATAACTAGTGTCGCCAAATCTGTGATTCTGCTAGCGCAACACATGATGCGGGCAGACTCAGGCATTAGGAGCAGCATCTGTCTGTTAGCAGTGACAATTACATAAATCAAGCAAATAAGTGAATGACACGATTCTGACATTGCGGCTGCTCTTGTCAAACATGCAGTAGCTTTCGACTGTTGTTTTACTTCAGTTATAAAGGATTCACTGTTTTGCTTCATTTATGTAACTGTTACTATAGTGTGCACCTGACTAGTTACAGCGAAATATGTCAGGCAATAAATTGAGCAGTCTATTGTTTGCGTCTTCTTCTTACAACGAGGAAACATTCCTTTGAATAAAAGTCGGGTTTTTCTTTTCTCAGCAAATTTATTGATCAAAAGAGTGCAGCAATGTTTATATACTATCCCCAAAAGATATTGTGTTATGATAAAATCTGGGTGTTGTGTTTATAACGGCTTAAAAGAAATATATGGCCCACAATCAGTTTGGTTATATCTAAATTTGGCCAGGGGACCCCTCAAAAAAGGTTGCCCACCGCTGTCTACGGGTACGTCACAGTCTCACCTGAGCTTCTTCCTTGGTACCCTTAAAACCCACTTTCTTTAGGACATCGTAGACTTCCTGAAAGGACAGCGACCCACTTTTATCCTTGTCAGCCTGGTCGAAGTCAAACTGGAACTGCTCCACCTGTTTCTGGGCCCACTCAAAGCTCATCCTGCCACCTGTGCGTAGAAGAGCCGAGTTTCACATGCGGGTCACAGACACAAATCGATACACTGTAAATACTTACACTTCATTTTCAGCGAGGCGCTGTCGTCAGTTGCAGCTGACATATTTTATTGTGGAAAAGGGGGGGGGGGGGTATATTGTCAAGTGTGTTTTTCTATCTTTTTACTTTTTTCCTTGAGTACGGATCAATATACATTGTCTGCTTTTTACATTTAATGCTTCCACAGTGTAGTATACTACTTATAAGTAAGATAAGACCTCCTACCCCCCCCCCCCCCAAACCGTTGAAGTAAGTTTTTTCAGCCTTCCCATTGTGCATGTGGCGCATACCCGTGTAGACTAGCAGCAACAGAAGTACAGTAGTAAGTAAAGGACCCTTTTCCACGCCCCCCAGACGTATTGGGTATATAGGGCTAGACCTATATTATATAGACCAACGGCACAAGATAGATTATGTGGTCAGCATCACGCCAGCCGCCTTTACTTCTCAGGACTGCACCTGGTACTCACTCAAGGCTGGGTCGACCTGGGAGCCAAGGTCATTTTTTTGAAAACAAGTCTGGCTCCGCCAGGGAGCGAACTCACGACCTTCCGATCAGCAGGCGAGCGTCTGGCCGCTGCGCCACGGCGACTACCTTACCTACAGCAATGGAAGAGCCCTGCTATTTTCAACGTGACCAGATAAACATAACCGTGTTTCACTTGCTACCTATATCTAATAGCGGGGTGGCAGGTGAGGTAAGCATAGATACGGGTTGTCTGGAGTTGGCCGGCGAAACAATCTTTTCCTTAACCAGTACCATCATCATATCGTCGTCGGCATCATCGTTGTAATGGTCATTCTGTTTTGTCGTTTATGGCGTCTTCTTCTTCTTAACGTTTATCGGCTTTAAACTCCGGCGGAAAGTTCTAGTCGTTCGTCCACGTCTGGACTTTTGTCCTATTCCAGAACTCGAGTTTGGCAGTCTATTCCTTGATTCACTTCTATCCTACATCTTCACTAGTTCTACAATTATTCTGTTGTCTAATGAATGAGAATTTCTACATATTTCCTCACATGATCTCTTTTGTAGTATCAGCCACGGTTGTCGTCCATCAGTGGCTATTATTAATTAATTGCAAACATGTATGAACACACACACACACACACACACACACACACACACATATATACATATAATAAAATAAACACAGGGATCTGAGAGCTCGAGCACATTAACCCCCCCCCCCCCCTTCCACGCACCCATTGAGCACCCCTCATCTCCCACCATATATTATAGTCCTCTTTTTAAGCAAAGGCCTATGTTCATACATTTCAGATTTTTTTTTAAATATATTATAAATTTTTTGGCTTTTCAAAACATCATAATAATAATAATTATTACTATTTTTATTATTAACATTATCCTATTAAACAAGGGCTTAATTCTTTCGGAACCATATATCCCTTGACAATTATAGGCCTGTTCCCCGCCATGTTTTCTCTTGGAGGCGTGCCTGATATATGTGTACATTGGTGTGTGTGTGTGTGTGTGTGTGTGTGTGTGTGTGTCTAACTTAGACACACAGACATACATATAGATAGATAGATAGATAGATAGATAGATAGATAGATAGATAGATAGATAGATAGATAGATAGATAGATAGATAGATAGATAGATAGATAGATAGATAGATAGATAGATAGATAGATAGATAGATAGATAGATAGATAGATAGATAGATAGATAGATAGATAGATAGATAGATAGATAGATAGATAGATAGATAGATGGATGGATGGATGGATGGATGGATGGATGGATGGATGGATGGATGGATGGATGGATGGATGGATGGATGGATGGATGGATGGATGGATGGATGGATGGATGGATGGATGGATGGACAGATAGACGGATAGACGGATAGACGGATAGATAGATAGACGGATAGACGGATAGATAGACAGATAGATAGATAGATAGACAGATAGATAGATAGATAGATAGATAGATAGATAGATAGATAGATAGATAGATAGATAGATAGATAGATAGATAGATAGATAGATAGATCGATAGATCGATAGATCGATAGATCGATAGATCGATAGATAGATAGATAGATAGATAGATAGATAGATAGATAGATAGATAGATAGATAGATAGATAGATAGATAGATAGATAGATAGATAGATAGATAGATAGATAGATAGATAGATAGATAGATAGATAGATAGATAGATAGATAGATAGATAGATAGATAGATAGATAGATAGATAGATAGATAGATAGATAGATAGATAGATAGATAGATAGATAGATAGATAGATAGATAGATAGATAGATAGATAGATAGATAGATAGATAGATAGATAGATAGATAGATAGATAGATAGATAGATAGATAGATAGATAGATAGATAGATAGATAGATAGATAGATAGATAGATAGATAGATTAGATAGATAGAGATATCTTTTATCTATCCTGCGACCACTTTGAGCTCTAAAATTACAATTTTACCCTTATTCCACCTTACCGACAGACACTATGCAGACACATTACCAACACAATTAAATACACACATGAAAATATAGAGAACTTGAAATTAATTTGCTGTCTGTATATGTGTCCGTCTGTCTGTCTCTCACCCTTCCTATCCCCAATTTTTTTCCTGACCTGAAGCGGAATTCCGTAGAACGACTGTCCTTGAACAGGTTTGAAGTGAAGGGTCAGCAGCAGACGACAGTGACGCTGTAGGTGTTGCTATGAGAACAAAGAGTTAGATCCACGTAAATAAACACTTAAAAAAAAACAAAAAACATCACAATGCAGATCTTTACAACACGATACGGTTTATGTTGCAGAGCTTTTCTTTTCTTCTCCAAACTCAGAAAACAGCGAATGTGCAAACTCGCTACTGTAATTTTACACACGTGATGAGGCCAATTTGGCGCTTCACATTTGTAAAGAGGCAAATTACAATGTGAAGGAATTATTTCACTGAACTGTCACTCACAACTAAAGGAATTTTGGAAGGTGGAAAACCCACACACATAGGAACAGTCAGACATTTTGGAAGCAGCCTTTATCGACAAAAATCATTATAACCAGGGAAAGGGTATCCGTACCACCGAAAACGCACGTAAGTAGAAAGTACAACCAGACCTTTTTTCTTTTTGCATCGTGCAACGGCACGCAGTAAGAAAAAGGAGGAGGAGAAAAAGGAAGCATACAACAGCGAACACCTTTGCTTTAGGCATCATTCGCTGAGCACTGTCGTAAAAGACACTGTGGTGAGTTAGGTTAGTTGCGAATCCTTTACAGGACGTTGCAGAACCAAAACCGTATGGGTTTTCTAGGCAAGTTTACGCCCAATAGTTTGCAATTGCATTCTGGACGGTCGGCTTTCTTGATACCACTGTCGAAACCAAAGCAAGGTGCATGGCCCGCAGCTGGGATCGAACTCGGCACCGGCATTACGAAGCGTTTGCATCGACTTAGCCACAGAGCCGACTACTGTGATGAGTACCGGCATCTTTTCTTCTATGTTGGGGGAAAATACCTGAGTACAGCAATGAGACTTTTCTATAGTAAATGAAATGTATTTATAGTAAGATTGTCAGCAGACTTCATTTTTAGCAGACTTCAGTTCAGTGCTCAGGAGGAAAAAGCAGAAACGGTGAGGTATTGGAGAGGAGGGAATGATGAATCATGATCACACTAAATGAAACTGGTTAACATGAACTTGGGCGGAAATCCTGAAAAGGAAAACAGGGGCAATCACCGCTGCCCACCACATACCAGCAGCACCGCCAGCCACATCAGTGCACAGCGAGAGTCAGTTTCCTCGTGTGTCTAGTTATCGAGTGGGTTAGTTGCCTCGAATTTAGTTTAGCGTTCGCTTAAGAGGAGAGACACAGGTTCCCTCAGAGATTAGTATTGATCTCTGCTTTGTTCGGCTTAATCTGCTAGGTCTGAAAGCTGTAGTGTTTCAAATCACAAATCAATACGCTGACTAAAAGTCAGTTGTCCCGCATGTCAGTCGTCTCAGGAACAAAACAGTGAGAGTTAGTTGCCTCACTATAAACAGACCGCAATTCACTTACGTGCTAGGGAAAAGAGAAGACTGGTATCGATCGCTTGTCAATCGGCTTGATCTGCCAGCACTCGCTACCTAGTCACAAAGCCCGTCCTGTCAAGCGAAAGTTAGTTGCCTCACAAGACTAAGCACTAGCCTTGAATACTGTTGGGAACACTCTGGGAGTTCTTCTTTTAAAGAGGTTCTCCTAACAGGCTTGTTGCCCAGCAGAGGACAAGCTTTTGCGAAATACTCAAACTGAGCGAGACGACGCATCCACCCTGACGACAGCAGAGCCAAGAGTGTGAGTATAGTTTACGATTAAAACTATTTCACTAGGGCTTAGCCAAAACCAAAATGTTAAAAACACCGCCGAGAACCACGCGGAGGCAAACCAGAGCCAACTCCCAGGAGCCAAGTTCAACAATTAAAATCCCCGCGGAGAAAAGTCGAAACAGTGTCCCAAAAAGGCGGCTTTTAGGGCAAAAACGTAAGCCTTACCGATAATAGCCGACCAGGAGGTAGAAGAGTGCCCTAAAGCTAAAACCATCAAGCCGAGCACCCCAGAAGACAACAGCCAGCGAGAGGAGCCACCGACAGAATGCGCACCCTCCTAGGTAACAATAGTATCAGAGGGGACAGCCAAACAGCAACCGGCAAAGAGGACTATCAAAACCCAGATCATCACCCCGTCAGCTTCGGCTAATAAACCGCCATCAAAGCAAATACGGGGAACAAAGATCAAAGTAACACAGACAAAGGGCACGGCGGCATCTTTTGGGTCACTCTCTGACAACCAAGTAAAATCGGCCTTAGAACCCTTTGTCGGCATCAAATAAATAACACAAGTTTTTTCACGGAAACAAAGAGAAAGTTTTTATATAATCGTGGACAGAAATGACCGCTTAGAATCCTTTGTGAAGGAAATAGTCGGCACCGAGGGAGGCGTGTACCGATCACTGCCACACGATATAGAAGTCAGACTGGAGAAAGCTACTCCAGAGACAACCATTGTTGCGAAGGGGATCGCTCTAACAGCAGATGACAAACTCCTCAACACACTCAGGGAAGAGAATCAGGCATGGCAGATAGTCCACGCTGTTCGACTGACCAATAGAAACGGCCAACCAACGAGAGAAATTAAAATCACGCTAGTTGGAACGAAGACGCCATCTTTTTTGAACTTCCAAGGGCGCAAAAAGCTTTGTGAGATCTTTGAGCCACCGCCACTGCAGTGCACGCAGTGCCAGGGGTTCGGCTATGTTTTCAAATCATGCCGAAATAAACCTATCTGCCGTTTTTGCAGTAGGAACCACTGGTACCGCGATTGCCCGCTAAGAAATACCGACAAAAACTACAAAGAACCGAATAAAAACAGGAAGTGTGCTAACTGCGGAGGGAAACACAGCGCCAGATACCTGGGCTGTCTAAAACGCAAGCAAGAGCAGCTAGCCTGGAGAAAATCAGTTATTACCAATACCCCTCTGAAGAAGGTAAAGTTCTTTCAGTCACAGCCGAAAACCAACCTTGAACTAGCCTCAGCAATGAGAGCAGTTCAAAAAAGGTAGAGTACCTAGCTACGACAGCGCCACCAACCAGCAGCCAACCACCAAACGAGCATACAGAAGCGGTTAAGCGTTTCAGAGCCTTAAAAGAGAGCTTCTCATCGAAAAAGAGAGGCGCCGACAAAACGGATCACAACTGGTAAAGGAGCTAAAAGAGGTGAAAGAGGGGATCAGTGAGCTAAAAAAAAAAACTAAACCAAGACAACCAAACCAAAATCACCAACGTAGAGGAAGCACTAAACACCAGTGAGCACTCATCAAAGACGGGTCCCGTAACAGAACCGGTTCTCAATAAGTTTTTGAAAATCGCCGATGAAAACACAGTCAAAAGAATCAAAGATTTCGAGAATATGTATTACGCCAAAAAGGGTCCCAACTCAAGCATGACTAGCGACGACTCCGCGAAATTCTCAGACCCAGAAGCTGGCACAACCTAACGAAACGAACCTTAAACCTGTAACCCGCATAATACCAAACCATTATGAACGATAACCGTTTACAAATAATCCGGTGGAACTGCAGTGGCATTAAGAAAAACCTCCCAGGCGTGATGAATACCCTGGGTGACAACAATACAATCTACGCCCTGCAGGAAACCCACTTAAAAGCCAGCGACAAATTCAATAGCCCTGGCTATCACACACTCAGATATGACAGGCCAACCGAAAAAGCAGGAGGCGGGGTCGCGCTACTGATCCACAAGAACTGGGTACTGATCGAGCTTGAAGCGTTCTCAACAGCTAATCTAGAAGCAGTTGACGCTAAGATAGCAGTCGACAACCGAGAACTATGTATCCTAAACATCTACAGCCCATCAGGTAGATTTGATGAAAGAGATGCGAAAGCTTTACAGGAGCGAATGAGCGCAAATATGCTGATCTTGGCAGATCAGAACGCACACCATCCTCTATGGGGGGAACTCAGAGCAGACGAGCCGGCACAATAATAGTCGAGTTCATTGAGGCTAACAACCTAACGGTACTCACCGATGGCTCTATAACCAGAGTTAGCTCCTGCCCGGGACAAAGAGAGACAGCAGTGGACATAACCTTGGCCACTCCAGAGCTGGCCGGGTGCACATGGACTGTGTCAGAAGATTCTAGTTCTGACCACCTGCCGATCGTTATATCCACACGAGCGGTACCCCTACAGAACGCAGAGAATCTTCGTCCCAAATTCATGCTTAAAAGAGCGAGATGGGATTCATTTCAGAGCGAGATTAGTGAGACTGAACTCGGAGCACTCCGTGATGAAGGAATAGACGATTACGCAACAAGAATCACAGAAACGATCCTAAAAATTGCGATAAAACACATTCAAAACAAAAACATGCCTGTGAAACTAACAGGTGCGACTAAGGGAAGACCAGAACCAAACCAAGAAAGGCGCAAGAAATCAACAGGATGGTGGAACGAACTGTGCAGAACAACACATGCAGACATAAAGAAAGCCCTCCAGAGATTCAGAAGCACCAGAACAGAAGCCGACCGTGATCTCTACAAAGTAGAGAGAAATAAAGCTAATAGGGCCATTTAAAAAGCCAAACAAACCAACTGGAGGACGTTCTGCCAGAACCTCACACCTATCACCCTGTCGAGCGCAGTATGGAGCCAAATAAAGGCCATACGGGGTGTAGGGAAGAGGAAGCAGATCCCGACCTTAAAGTTTACTAACATAGCGATATCAGATAAGGAAAAAGCTGAATTATTCGGTCGACATTTCTACTATGTCAGCTCTGATGAGAAAGCAGGAGATAAGGAAATAGCCAGACGGAGACAAGTCAGAGACGTACTAGAACTCCCACCGAATACTGCAGATACTCCGAACTACATGGATGCAGACATCACGGTACACGAAATCGTCTCAGCCACCCACGAAAAGTCTAACACAGCGGCGGGTCCAGATATACTGAGCTACGCAATCCTAAAAATGCTTCCTGTGAAAACTTTCACGACCATAACAGATCTATTAAACCTAGTGTGGCGGGGTGGCGTAATCCCTAAACAATGGAAACGGGCAACAGTCGTACTCATCCTTAAGCCAGACAAACAGTCGACTCGTACCGCCCGATTTCGCTCACCTCCCACCTGGGAAAAATATTGGAAACCGTCGTTAAAAAC